TATAAAAAGGATAAAGCATTTGCCGTTGATCAATCCCTTTTTGGGATGCGGCACGCATTCTACTTCCATTTGTACATTCGTAGTGGCGTTTGAATGCGATGTGGCCTATACAATGACTTGCGGGGGCCAGCCGATGTACAAGTCAGTGTTTTTATCCTCCCAGACAAGTCTGGTACCAATTAACCGACCCCGGAGGGATGGAAGGCTTGGTTGGCCCGGGCGACTCACGACCCAGGATTTGATCCCCGGACCGCGTGGTAAGCGTGCCACTTGCCACTACACCACTTCCGCCCAGTCAAAATAGTACATTTAATAAAGAGTGATAATTAAGCTTTTTTTGTGCGTTTTTGGACAAGAACTCTGGAATATTGAAAAATGATTCAGTAAGATGCGATTTTGATGTTCATTATGATTCACAAGGCTTTTGGGATTTCTTGTGGTTACTCAGCAGAACTGTAGATTGACTCTGATAGTTGGTCTCCGTAGTGTGAGGTATGGGAAAAACTTCCTTTACTCTCACTGGAAAAAATTCGGGCTTCGACGCTGGATCCCATCCATAATACCACGCACTTTCGATGGAAATTCTATGTAACGTGTTCTTTGAAAGCATTCGTCTCGTCCCTTATTGATGAGCACAAACCAAGGATGTTATTGTTTGACTTGCGGCTGACCATAAGTCACGGGACGGATCTGTTTTCCTCTACTCTTCAATATTTCTAATTCCAATGTTCTTGCTGTTATCGCATTCTTTTCTCAGACGCTGAAGTCAACAATCTTTAAATCGCCTGTTTCTCTTCGCAAAGGTCGCATGCCTCGCAGTTCTTCTCGTCCTGCATACGTGGTATACAGGGTGAGCCACAGCTATGGTAACCAAGTGATTATATTTTATTGAAAGCGTGCACTAGCCTATAAACAAACGAAATATCAAAGAAGTCCGTTCGTCACTCGTATCTCCAAACAAAACCAGGTTAAGGTGGAAATCTATTACCTGCTGCGTCCACACAGACCTTCAGATTAGGAAGCAGGCATGTACAGTGGCACTCAGGTGAGACGAGCCACTGATTCCAGGTTTCCAGCCGCGTCAAAGTAGGAAAATGTGTATTGAATAGCACTTCCTTTCAGGTTTACCTTACAGATCATCCAGCTGAATTCGGTTGGAAGTTTTTAAATATCAGCTCCTCGAAGCCTGTAAATTCTGGAACCTCCTCAATACAGAACTTTACTTCACTGCCAGGTGCTCCGCACTTCTGACACGTCCAAGGTAGAGTACTCGAACGGCCTTTTGTGGGCGGCCGACGTTGGTTTTTTAGAGCATCCGAAGTGGGCTCTTACAAAAATTTTATTTTTGGGGTGCGATATTCTCGCAAAGAGAAGGGGTTTCTTTATTCGATATTTGTCGTTGTTGTAGATGTCACCTACGAATTTACACGTTTTCCATCTGAGACCTGCTGCCATACTTCGCGAGTCCGTTGATTCGCTGGCGAATCGCGAGGTATGAGTAATGCACCAGCGGTTGGAACCATGCACCACCGGTTTGAACAATGTACCAGCGACTCCACAGCGTTCAAATGTTGCGTCAAATGTCATATTCGCACGTTGACTCCAGCGACTTTCCCCGGCTCTCATGCCCTCTTGCTTTCCCATGCCCAGTTGAGCCCGCAAATGGCAAGAGCCAACATGCAAACAAGGAGGGACTTTTCAGCCACTTTCAAAACAGAGGTCGCTTGATGTTTGCGTACCCACAGCGATCGCAGCAAATCCATAGATTCTCAAAGCCTTACACCGACCTTAAGATATGTTGCGCCACTTATACTGCAGATTGTCGGGTAGCCGTATTACGACGTTTCTCGCTACCGCATGTTGACGACGATACGATGTGAGAGGAATGAGGGAGAGGCAGAAATACACTTTGTCGATTCAATTTTAGGACCTGGCGTTGATGCAGTTGGTTTCACTAGATTTGACAAATGCTGATAATAAGTCTCACTTGGAGGGAGACATTGTAGCCTATCAGATTTTGTACAAATGGGAAAATGGAGATTCGTAAAAAGTGGGGTTGACCGCTCGCACTTCTGGTTACCACGACTTTGATCCACCCTAAACTATATGTACTCCTGGGACGGTAGTAAAGTGCCCTAGACTGGCAATCAAATGTGGTGATTTACGCCCAAATGTGTCGAGGATAGAGTGAACGCGGAAGCAATGAGACATTACCCTAGTTGAAACCGCCAGCCTCGCCACACGACCTGCAAGGCTTGCATCGCTCTCGGACTTGAGCCCTGAATGGTAGAGCTCATATCCGGATTTTTTGCCACTGCACCAGGGATCACTGGAAGGGGTGTTGATGAAAGGTATGCAATGGATGTTGTTTGCAAATCTCAGTCTTCAAGCGGTGCTGATCCAGCAACCTTGCCAGCGGCAGCGTGGAACGTCCCATTGAGCCAATGGCAATTTGCCATAGGTGAAGTGGTGAGCATCCACCACGTTGCTTGCAAAAGTCGCACACACGGGTTTGAACCTTCGGTGCACCGTCCCATGAGCGGCATCGCTACCACTGCACTATGAAGCCCTTCTTATCGAGTCCAGTTGAACGAGGTGGTAGAGGAAAGGCAATAACCCACAAAAGTTGCAAGATTTTTACATCTAGTAGTATCGATCCCGTGACCGACCTCAATACCGACGTGGAATGCAGGCGCTACACCATTGACGGATCAATGCAAGTTGCTTCCCTTTCCCTTTTCAACTTACTGCGTTGACCCACACAGCCTGGCTGTTTGGAGATGGCCATCTCTAAAAAGTCCTCCGGAGGACTTTTTAGAGATGAAGTGGCAGCATGTTTGCGCCCTCCACCGCGCGCGCACTATTTCCTTTTTCTCTGCCGCCATCGCTGTTTTTTGGAATGACCACCCTGCTAATCCTCTTACTGGAACGTGATGTCGTCCCCCCCCCCCCTTCCGAGTGAGTTCGAACTCACTTCGACCATTCTGACGGGAATCTTCGTAGGGTCTAGAGCTGCTCTATGCATATTTTAGGGACTTCGTTAGATAGCCATCACCAAGTAACCACGAGCTCATGGTAACGTGGGAACTAGACAGTTTGAGGCCACTTTGCTACCAGTACAGCCTCGATATTTGCATGCTCACAGTAGCCGGGTGTGCTGAACAATAATTTTACTTCTTGCCGGAAAATTAAAGCACCCTTCTTTGAGTAAAGTGATACGCTGGCTACTCATGAGCAAACGCAGGAGGGACTGAAACGAGGTAATAAACAGCACTAATCTACTTCCGTCTTTGTTCAGCTGGAATGCATTAGCGCTTTAGAAATAAGTTAACTTAACGCAAGCCCATTCAAAACCCCTATGAACCAAAACTCCTCACTGCCTTATGCAGGAAGCGAGAGTGTCTTTCTAATTAAATTAAAGAACAAAACGCATATGAAATCAGCAATAAACGCTCATGAGAAGTGCTATGCAACAAGAGCTTCTATTTGAACAAGTAACTCACAATACAGAAGAAAAAATGCCGCAAACCCTATAAAAGTGTTTAACAACAATTTCATTTTCACAACTCAATAGCACGAATTATGTTGACTAGAGCATACTGCACATTTGTAAACAAAGGCATTGACTATCACAGAAGTGCCTATGACAAAGCCATACTGCCAATCACCGACCTTGCCCTCCTTCAAATTCAAGAAGGGTCCTTTTTTCACGAGAAGCATATGGGAGAAAAAAGAAAGAAAGTCAGGAAAATTGGCAGTGTGACTTTTTCTATTAGGAAAGATTTTCGAAGTGAAAAATTTGGAACGGAGATGATATGGACACATTGACTGTAGGATATGTTGTTTCGTGATTTGTGTAGACCATCACAGAGAGAAATAAGGAATGTTCCTATACATGAGGGACAAGTAACATGATAGAAAAGAAGCAAAAAAGTAAGTAATCTAGAATTTAAGGCTCTTCTTCATCTAACATCAACGGATTGTTTACGACTGAGAAACGACGCTTTCGTTTCAGCACCACATCCACTATGAGAACACCAGCTAGCAGCAATGTGGTCAAAGCCAAAACTGCCGTCGAAACTATAATATAAAACAAGCTACACTACTAGAGCTAATCATCAAGGAAGTGGATAATCAGGGGAGTGTTCCAACTTTCCATGAAACCTTGCATTGAGACCTAGGTATATCGGTAAAACCTGGGATGATGATTGCAAACGTGGAAAACAAACCGCTACAAGAATACCGAACTATCGAAACTGCCAAGGAAGCTATTAGCTTCTCCTGGGTATGGAGCCGAACAAGGTGCTGTTTTCGATCGCTTGTGTTCTAGCCATTCGCGGTAGGACCATTGCAGGAAATCCAAGTACTCGTAAACTCTCTCTCTCTCATGTAAATGAGAGAGAGAAGCCTTAGCTGGCCAAAATTTGCCAGTCTTGGTAACAGCCGAGGGCGACTGTGCGTGAATGCTGGAGAAGGGCTTGAGCGCGGAATCAGGCAAGCACGCCAAAAGCGCAGAAACTCAAATTGCAAACATGTAGGTTTGTGAAGAGGCAGAAGTGTGCGCTTCTATGCCAAGCTAATGCGGACGAATCCACGCCTCACATGTTGGTCCATTCACGCGCCCAAGGAACCTCCAAAAACCTTTTCAAGCATTGAATACAAATTGAAAAAGCTGTTCTTCGACTAAAAAGTTACTAATTACTGGTTTACACATGCGATTTATCGGACAGCTAGGGAATTTCCATGGAACGGTGTTGAAACACCATACGCTCACACTTGAAGGGCTGTTTCCGCTTTCGATAGGAAGTTTTAACTTCAAAAGGAGCACGCAGGCAAGCAAATAATATGATGACTTACTCATATAATTTTTGACATTCGGGCCACCTATACCACATTCCGCGTTCCAGTCGACTGGGAGGTATCTAAATCATTTCAAATGACTAAGGAATTGATATTTTACGATTATTGAAATTTCAATCGCACGAATGTGCCTATACGGCTATGCAACTCTTCAAATGCTCTCACTGACATAGTAAAAAAAAATTAACAAAGTAGCACACCTATTCATAGCTGATTTGAATGCATCGAGTGTACAGGGGTCTTCACATCCCGGTATATTGTAGTGATACAAACTGTCAACATCAGTGACGTTCTTGTAGTATACCTATATTGAATGTGATACACCTGATACATGTGCTTGGATGCCAAGTCATGTGATTCTGATGTTATCACTATTAGCAAATGTTGTTGCGCACCTCTACTATTAATTGTCCATTCTTCCTGTGAAGCTCAAGAAGTACAGCACTCGAATAACGCGGAAAATGTTCCGGAAATATTCCCATGGCAGACAACATGGCCGCAAGCGTCGTGTCGTGCTTAATAGAAACTACATTGAACTCTGCGATTTCGATCATGAAAGAATGCAGATGGGAGAAATAAAAAAAGGGCCGCAGTTCAAAGTGCGAGGCATTAGCAGGTAGAAGTTTGCAGACACATTCACTGACAAGCAACTCTGCCCTAAAAGCAAGGTTTTTACGCAACCAAGCAAAAATGTTCACGAAATGTGCTAGCTTTTCGACTTTTTCCAACGAGTAGAACTTTTTTCAGAAATTGAGCTGAGGTTGAGTTGGCAAGACCGTCATAGAAAGCCGAGCTTCTAATTGAAATCGCCTTCAGTCGGCATTCATGAAAAGTCCCTCGATATTCATTCATTTGTTGCTTGCTCGTCATCTTATTCGCAGATATAATAAGGTATTCGAACACCAAACACAGGCTTTACCCATTAGCTCTACGCCGCAGCCTGGTTACCCAATTATCCTACCCACCCAGACGTGCGGCAACTTCTCATGAGGAACCTGAAGAACGTGCATTCCCTTTAGCACACGACAGGCTTTTTTTTACCAAGCGTCCCTATCGAAAAAAAACTTTGCAAAATTTTTTGGCTAACTTGTCCTACTAGAGTTCAAAGGTAAAGTTCGCTTGTAAAGCACAGAAGAATCACGAAGTATCTGAAACCATTAGTCACTTACCGCCGAATAAGCATACAGCTTCGGCTTATCTCCCAAAACACCATTGACTTTCGCTTCAAATCGCTCTATGATGTCCTTCAGCAGTGGTCCTATAATAATGGGGTTAAATTTCTGATGAAAAAAAGTTTCCATTAGGCTTCACATCAATTTGCCACAATGACCGTACACAGAGATGGCGCTGGCCCGAGTGGTAGGGCTGCGCAGCTAGCACAACTCCTTCAGTAGTGAACTTCCTGAGAAGAACTAAGAAGCTATCTGAAGGGGGGGGGGAAGGGGGAAAAGAGTAATGCCTAACTTTCTAACAAGAAAATGTTCAAGTATTTTTAACAAGGTTTCGGGGGCTCATTACAAATATGATTGCTGGCAGATGTCTCAAAAATGTGGAACAACTGTCTAAATGAGAAGACATTTTGCACTTCTTTTGACACAGTCGAAGATATTCGCGTGTTTCGCAGTTCGGTGGCAACGACGACTACGATGGAATAGCCCACTACTCGGCACACTGGCGACAGCATCCGTTTTGTCCTTTCTGGCCTCACAACACCGGCCTGATTTAGTGCGCGGCATCTCATCCCACGCCCGTGAGGTGCGAGTGGTGAATATATAGTGACAACGCCACCCTATGTTGGGTAACACCCAGTCCGCCATTAGAGTGTATTTTTTTGCAAATTTCTAGCGATAACATTCTGGTCAGGAATGCGTTGGTATCTATGATCTTGGGCAGTGCATACTTTCACAGTGATTATTTTACCGAAGATACGCCTAAAAATGCTACTCATAAGTAAAGCTTCTATAAATTTCTTCTCAGGTTTTTGTATTTTTCAAACGTGGGGCAAAGAAACAGCTGTTGCGTTATTGAATGTGATTATATGGATGGTTTAATTGTGTGTAACTGTAATTGCAATTTTTACGTCTGCCTTCAAACATAAATAAAATAAAATAAATATTCAGGTCAGTCGTCGGGATGCTAGGACATGATCCTTGTTTTTATTTCTCGTCAAGCCAATGCGCTGTTTGATGCAGCCTCTGTTTCAAAAAACCAGAAGCGCGTCGAGTGCAGACCACACACCACAAAAGATGATGGCCTCCAAGTCCAAGTAATCTGGTAACTAGTGATCATAGTGATAGCTGATAGTTGGTAAATGATAGTTGTAATTAGTGACAACTGATAGAATACAACTGCAACAGGCTAATCATTTCATTGGCAGAAACTTACATTTTGTGGAGGCCGTCGTCACTTGGTGTGTGGTCTGCACTCAACGCGCTTCTAGTTTTTTGGAAACAGAGGGTAGTGCTTCGTTTAATGAAGCGTGCCTTGACCGTGTGAGCTCGATTCAGCTCCTTAAGGTGTCGTAGAGCATTCACGTGCACACTCACGAACTTTGGTTAATCATCAGTCAAGAAAATTCAATTATCAAATCAAAATAATGTGGCCAAAGAGTAGTCCCTTTCACTCTCAGATGTGCTCTTTCGGACTAGTACCGACTACCACTGGAAGATTCAAAAGCAGCCCGGGGGATGGAAGGAAATCTTTGCGACATTCATATTGCATCAACCTATATGCAATGTATACAGGGGTGGCCAAAAAAAGAGACACTTGACTCCACATTTCAGACAGCATTAATCACACTTTGCTAGAATCAAATCGACTGCCCCCAACACATTATTGAAGAGCACCTTCTAATCTATCTAAACCTTATACGACAGCCTTCTACACAGAGTCAACCCTGCGTTGCGCAGTTCGCAACGGCACGTTGAGAGATCCTCAACGCACGCTGTATGGGCGGAGACGCAGACGGCTCGAGCATGCGAGTGTGAATGTTCGCGCGAGAGAACGTGTCTAATCGGGCGAAACTGCGCAACGTGGCCGTTGAGAACTGCGCAACGCAGGGTTGACTCTGCTTCTACACCGACGACATCAGAAGATTTTCCCACGGAAACATGGTTCGCGGTACGAGCTCAACGAGGTCGTCGAGGTACCATAGACCATTACGACGTCCCTGAAACGCTGGTCAAAAGCGGTTTTGCATAGTCACAGCTAATGTCTCTGGGAAGCTATTCAACAGTTAATCCATTGAAGAAATTATGTAGCAGCTTCAGGCCGGAGCGATTACGGTAAGCCTCGTTGAGCTCGACGGCGGCAGATGACGTCATATTCTGGAGACGGCGGGGGCAGTGAAGGAGGGCCTGCTTCTGCTTACGGGGAACACCTAAGGAATATTACGCCGTAAAACTTTCATTAACATCGGCACCCTGTGCGACGAAAAGTTCGATGATGTGCGCCATGGGCAAAGTGTCTTTTTTTGGCCACCCCTGTACAGGAATGGGAGGAAATAAGAATTTTGACATGTCACACTTCGGCGTTTTTTTTTTCGTCACAGAGGTTGTCGTTGTAGGCGGAATTTCAGCATCGAAACATTCTCCAATGTCCCTCTGCATTCAGTAGACGCAAGCCCGTCTTCAGAGACGTCGTCTACCGTCCTCGTCGAGCCCAAGAAGACCTACCGTAACTGCTTCTGCATCGACCTTTTTCACGATTCCTTGAACCCATTCATTGCTGGGTAGTTCTAAAGCCATAACCACATACTATGGACCCCCCCCCCCAGATCACGCTTATCAGAAAACGTACACGATCCGCGAGGACTTATTGAGTCGTATCACAAATGCCAGTTTTCGAGCAAATTTTTCATTATATGCCGTGCATGAAGAATGCCGCTATGAAGTTGTTTTATGAAATGGGATGTGCTCTTCAATTCAAAGTTGGAAGCATTTGGTTTGAATGTAGTACAGTGTTGGTGAAACTACAGTTCGGGTGAGGAGGAAGGGAGCACTCCCTGTTATCTTATCCGCAGTACTAGAGAGCACTCATTTGGACTTCAACCCTTTGGATAAAATAATAGGCGAGCGTCTTATTTCAAGTGCACTTTTGATAAGGGGCGATGTATGCCCTACATCACGCACATCCTGGCCACAAGGCAATTTAATTGATTGATTGATTGATTATTGGTGATTGTCCACCCTGCGCTACCACACTGTTGCGCCTAGCAAGGGATGTTTTTTATAGTCATTTTCTATCTAGATTCGCTGTGACTTGCTATTTTCTTTGATAGCCACTAGTTATCAATGTAAGCGATTCCTGTAATTTCCATCATCATATTACCTTAATTATTCTAAGCTTTAATTTTGTTATTTAATGCGCGTGTCATGAGAATTGTTTATTTTATCTTTATCCTTAGTAGTGGAGAGTACAATGGAGTGGCCCGCTCGAACTGAAGTTTCACCGTGTCATTACACTCATTTGAACGTGGAGACAAAATGCCATTTTGTAAGAGCAAGATCTGTTAGAACCTAAAATAGGAGACTTATTCTTGGTCTGAGGATACCCGCAAAAATTCGGGACAAAAGTGCATTGAGTTATCACCCTTTTGGCATGGTTGCTGTCATCAAGCAGTATCAAGACGCACTCCTTTAAAAATAAACCAAAGTTACAGCCACAAGCGGAGGACGAGGGAAAAATCGAAAGCCGTGTCGAAAGAAGGAGGTTATGTGTACTACAACTGATACGTTGCTAAAGACATCTAAACTTGAGATACATTGTTACCTTCTCTAACCGACGTTAGGCAATGCTGTCTCTGTTTGGAGCGTGTTGTCATGCTGAGTCAAGAATGAGCATCGTATGATACGCTTCTGAAACCGATCGAACACTGATAGCATTTACCCATGAGGCCACTTCTTGGGGTGGTCGCTATGATTGGAGCTGCAAAAGAATCAGGTACCGCTTTAACATTATTCCAGATAACTGACTAACTCAATGTTTGACCGTACTGGAGAAAAAAAAAACTTCCACACAGGATGAAAAACGGAAGCAAGATGCCACAATCGGCAGTCCTTCAACACATTCAACCAAAACGTGACCTGCACAAAATAGCTGGGATGAGAAAGCTCAATAGGTAGAAAATATAAAGCATCCTACATAAAACCTAGTAGGCACTTTATAAGCAACAAGGGCAGAGGTAAGTAACACTGTGAAAAAACACAGGAGGTGCAGAGGCGAGATCTGCACCTCCTGTGTTGCGCGTGGTGTGCTGTAGATACCTGTGTCAAGACGTTCACGAATCGGAATTCTCGTTTCGATGTCCTCACCGCAGCAACCAATCCTACCTCATGATAACGTCAGAGGCAAATTTGATTTTTGTGTGTTTTACAGGAAATCTGACTGTTACTATTGCGCCCTGCAAGTAGCTGGATGAAGCCAAAATTTGCACTCCAAATGACCACAAGAGACTTTGAAGAAGTAACGAATGCGATGTGTATCAAGAGGAATGATAGATTGAGGAACGGCTTTAATCTCCAGTCATTTTCGGCAGATACTTCTTGAAGACTCTTACTTGTGAATCATGTATGGTGACATTATCATCCTACGTTGTGGATGACTATTCTTGTGAGTCTGTTGTTTATTCATATGTTATTGGTCGTTCGGGTTTTTGTGTTTTGTGGTCATGCACTGGTCGAAGAATGTAAGGCAATTTATTTGTGATTGTGATGTATTAAATAAGATTGACTGTTCACACAACTGAGCAAGCGGAAGAGTATTCCAGTAACGCGATCTTTGATGCTGTATTGATTGTGACACACTCTCAACTGCATATAAAACAACACTCGTAGAACTTCCGGCATTCTCATTGTGTTGTACGTTCGCAAAGTGTGAGTAGAATAAGCAGGGAAAAGCGAGAGTAGGGATCTGGGCGGGAGCAGATTAACAACCTCATTACAGACTCAATGCTTCGAATCTAGTGCTGAGGTTCCATTCCTAACCATAATATATCTTGGATGCGATAAGGCCCTGTTCAGACGATGTACCGCTTGCGCGAAAACCCATATGCGAAACAATGTTAAATATGATAATTCCGTGACTTGAAAGAAGACTGCTATCAGTTTCGGCTTGATAGTTCGTTTGTGTATGTGGCGGAGATTCGATCGAAAATGATATCGATACGCATCGACTTACGAAGGCTGCGTGCTTATACAATCGTCGCAGTAAGTAGGTCGCCGCGCCGGCCGCCGCAGCCAGCAATATCGCGGCGAATTTGCAAAGAGCTCAGCATTCAAACATTGGAGAATGTAAGATTAGATTAAGTTTCCAGTAATGAAACATGAAATAGGAACCACCTTACCCTTTAAAATGCAGTTTCGTTTTCGCTCGCCATTATTACATACTTATCATATCATACTTATGTTAGAGCCTTCCTCGCCGCTACTCTGTGTCTTGATACGCAATATTCTTTCCGATTGAACCAGATTATCACTCTCTGATAGAAATTCAGGAAACTGATTAATAAAGAAGTCAAATTAAATCCAAAAGGACAACCTTTACACGGTACAAAGTTTGTACTGCGAGGCTTAAATCACTGCAGGGATCTTACAGTGACGCTTGCTGGCTTACTGATGTCCAGCACTCTGGTGTTATCAGTCACCTAGCCAACTTATGGGCATGGATGGATAAGAAAAGGTCCACACAGAAATCGCCGCAGCAACTGCCGCACGCGACGATTCTCGCCGCGTGAGCGGCGTGACCTCATTAGCCGACGATTGTATAGTACGCATCGACTTACGAACGCTTCGCTCACGCGATTTTCCGCCTGTGCGTTTCTCACAGTCGATACATATCAAACTCTTGACTGAAATTCGCCTGCTCCGGACGTTTCGCTTACGCGTTTCACAATTTCTCAGTCGATGCGTATCTAAATCTTGGCGGAGATTTTCGCCTGTGCGTTTTTTCGCGCCGGCGGACATCTCTGAACAGGGCCTAAGGGACATTTCCGGTACCAAGACACACTAATTTATGCAAGAACAATCAACATCCACAAATGATTATATCAAAGTGCGGCAGGTGTGTTAAGCGAATCCAACACGTGTCCTAGCGGCTGCCAGAAGTGGTGGATGATCCGAAGAAGAGGGAAATCTGCATCGGCCGGCAAAAATACACAATGTTGTAAAGCAAATTCGCGTGGTTTCGCTAGCGAATTGGTCCAAAGTCTTACGAGACAAGATCTTACAAAAACAATGTTTGCTCATTGGATGGAGAAATTGGGGACATTCACATGCAAGAATGAATGAAAATAAACTGCAGGTACCACAGTAACTAGGATTCGTTATTCATGTGAAGTTTGGAGGGACAGTGGTGGGTCAGTTGCACAGCACGACTACCTTCCGGGAGGTAATCAAGAAGTGTCATTTGCAAAGACGCGGCATCCCATATGATGTCGCGCAGTGATAACTTCCTTTCAGTACGCCGTCATTCTCTGCAAACTACACCCAGGAGGCAATCCCGTGCACGTTCCAGTGGCGACGTTCCTCCGGCGCCCTGGCGCAAGGTCCCAAAATCAGTTAATTAAACTTCAAGCTGCTTCTTGCTTCACAATGAAGAACATTACGTACCTTCAATTTAAATACTTTGATTTATAATTACTACCATGCAAATGACTTCGATTTTCAAGTACTCACCATACAAAAAAGATTATCGAATACCATCCAGAGCTTGCGAAACTCAAAATTTGGAATTTTCGTCTTCTCTTTGAGAAACTCAATGAAATCCTCGTTCTCAATCTCCATACGCTTCACCACTTCGGAACGCCATAACGTCGAGAACTCTTCGTTCGCGGTTGGGCAACTGATATCTTCATAGAGTTCCTGTAATGTTGTACGCATGTAAAAACGAACGAAATAGCAAATATCCTCACGATTTCAAAATCGTACCTTGTCGATAGCCCTCGGAACAGAATGGACAGGGACTGGCTGCCAAGGCAAATTGTCTTCCCACATCTCCGATTTTGAAGGCGGAAATAGCCCTAGAAAAATCTCAACACATCACATCTATAATAAAATGTAGATGAGAGTTGAGTAGTCAGCGACCCATGGTATTTTCTTACCGGCCATATTTGCCTGCGCAGACATTATGGTTCGGTTATAATCACTGCTGCGCACGAAAACCTGGAACGAAATAATGGAGAAACTGAAATTGAAGTGAGCTCATAAGTAAAGATCAACAGGTCAGCACTGCCAATCGGGATGATATGTACACATTTGCATTTTCCCACAGCGATTGAGCTTAGAACTGTTTTCTATACCTATCAAACGAATGTCTGAACAATGTTATTATGGATTATTTTGCACGCGCTATCTTGCATTATATCCCAACCAGAAAGCCCACAGCTGCTTGTAAGCCCTTGAAGGACGAATTCACGCTGGAAAGGCAACCCATCTCAAATTAACTTAGCGATGGTGATACAATGAAGATGGAACCGTCGATTTGAGCATTGATGCGACTATCATCGCTGTGCCCTCTTCAACACTACGCTCTCACCTATCTAATCACTCGCCACGTATAGACCTGCGGCGAGTGATCAGATGATCGGTGGGCGTCCAACCGCGCCAAGATTGAGCCATATAGGTCGCCGAGGTCAAACTTTTCGGTGCCAATTGCGCGTCAGTTCGCACCCTCAGGAGGTCCGTGGGTCCCTCAACTAGGTGAATTACTCCTTCTTCGACCTTCATTCTAATCGTGAATTCGTCCTTTAAAACACGCATTTTCAGGTGAGCATCGAAATAATGACATTTCTAGACCTTTGACCTCGGTGCAAACCACCGGCCGGGACGACTTGCTGGCCTCCTCCGCCATTTCTAGTTGATGACGACAACCATATCATTCGCATAAGTTTTTCGTTGGAAAAAGTAGGCACTCATAAGTCACTCACTAAGAAAGAAATACGAAAAAAAAATGCTTAGAAAGGGATATCTTCGAGAAAATGTACTTCCATACTGACAGGTAAAACAACAATGTGAGGGTGCAGTCATAGACGGTCCGATCGTAGCGATCGCACAGAACTGGATGCGTATCAATCGTCGGAAGTCCGAGGAGTAGACGATCGATACGCATCTGATGCTGTGCGATCTTCAGGGCGCACGCATAGTCGGTCGTCCGACAGCAACGATCGTAGTGTCGCACGATCAATACGCAGCTACTATTCCACACTACAATGGGACTTTCGAAATACCATCACGCGCAGTCACGTGTTGTCTGGGTTAGCATTGGGTGACCGCGTCGCCTTCCATTTGCGACCGCGGTTTATGCGACACCTACGATCGTGCGACCGACTATGAGTGCACCCTGGAGGGGGTTGTATGACATCTAATCCTTTTGGATGCAGCGGGAACCTGGTAGTAAGTAAGAATGCGTGAGCCAGGGGGCATGGGGCCAATTCAGGGGGTGGGGGGGGTGTGTGAGCCACTTAACCTGTGGCAAAAGTTTGGGCCTTAGTGTCTGGTGTCTGGCCTTGTGAAGGAGACGCAGAGGAGCAAAAGGATTAGATGTCACAACACCCCTGGGGCGGTATTCAATCCTTCCCCCAGGGGGATATATCCCCCTCCTCTGATTCAATCCTCTGGGGGGACAAAAAAGGGTTGCGTCATAGGACCTAGCATACCTCTGTGTTTCTACCTGCCAGACAGTTAGAGCAGCGCGACCCCTCAGGGAAAAGAGTGCTTCATCAGTGGAGGGTAGCGCTGCTCTAACTGTCTGGCAGGTAGAAACACAGAGGTATGCTAGGTCCTATGACGCAACCCTTTTTTGTCCCCCCAGAGGATTGAATCAGAGGGGATATATCCCTGGGGGAATTGAATACCGCCCCAGGGGGGGGTTGCCCAACAAGTGACAGTGAACCTTGAAATATAGCGAATGCGACCCAAGGAAAACCGGCGTTGCGGTCCGAAACGATTGCCAAAACCATGGCTGCCATATGCGAGCTCGCAACACCACTTCCAAGGCGATTGCTGGGCTGAAATAATACAAAGAAAACGCTCGAAATTAAACGCGGAGGAATCTTAATTCTGTTGAGAAAACAGAAGAGTAACTGAGATCATCTAAAGGAAGCAGTCACGCTGGCTTCCACGCTGGATTTGCTACCCTCGCGTTATCAATCGATAAGGTGTGAGGCAGTAATTGTTGGACGAGTGTAAGCCCATGGAAGATATGATACGATGAGATAAGAAGGTGCGGCTGCTTGATAAGAGGTGCACTCCAGAATGAAAACGGGACGATAACGATAACGGTATCATATCTAGCACGCTCTTATCGCACCCCTTTCACACATCGATAAGTCTTGGGTTTTGCTGAACTTGAGTGAATTTCGGCTCCTTATCACTTCATTGATAAGGGGCCACTGCCACTGAAACTTTACGTGTTCTAACATTGGGCAGGACCTCTATCCACTCCAATACATAGCTTTCCTTATCGTTGCCATGAAAATTATCGTGACTGCTTCCTTTAAAGCCCCGTGGAAAAACTATCCGAATCATTTCAGAACCGAATTCCAGTCCGAAGCCAATCCTTTAACTCATGCTTATACATAACTCTTATGTGTACTTTTTCAGGCCAAATTTTCCGAACTATGCGTGTTAACAATTAAATACAGACATGTAAGTAAGTAATGACTCGGAAACCAACAAAAAATTGAATCTGGCTTCGATGATTAGAACAGTGACTACTAGTGTAAAACCCAACCTATTCCCTTTCGTGTCAACTCTCCCAGGCCTTCCTCCCATGCAGATGCGTCATTGAATGGTACCGACGTAGCCGGAGTGCGATCTCCGTGCCGCCATGCCTGAAACTCGTCTCTCTTAAATTATTAGGTTGGAAAGAAAGTTCTGCAACACTCTTTCCAAAATTTTCTTTTTTTCTGAAAAATTCATAGGTAACATTTATGACTACCAAATGATAGAGCATTCTCAAGGCTTCAATCCACGAGGTGGATATAAGTTCTGCAGTCAGTAGTTATCCAAGAAAATTCAAAAAATCTCGACCACTAGCAAATCCGTACTCCGAGTCACTGTCTAGTACAAATGTCTACAAAACCATGGATTCGTGTCAACGACTGACACTATCTGCAATAGCTTCTAATGGCATGCCGTTCAGCGATACAGCGTGTTTCACCTTTACCAGCGCTTCCGATCTTTTGATATTTTTATAAGAAGCCAGCAGCATCCCTCACACTCCATTACAGGTAGGGCTCTTACAGAAGCTCCACTACATACCCTTCGTTATGGGCACCATTGTGTAGGCAGTGGCCTAGGTTGTGGAAGTACCAGAAGCTGGCCGAGGTAGCTCGTCAAGAGCCCTCGTACCGCGACAATATTCATTTCTTTCATGACATTGCGAATCACCATGATCCGAAATGAGCCCGGTAAGAAATTCTGGAGTTGCGGCAAGATTTCTTTCCTCTCTTAGCGTAATCCCTGGTCGAGCTGTAAATAAGTGCTACCTATCCTGGACCTTTAATCATCATCTTTATAACGAAATAATCAGACGATCAACTCCAACTCGAAAGTGAGGTCGCCTCCTTTCTCGACTCGCACTCCGCTGGGTTTTGGCAGAGGAGGATCAAGAAATTTTCTGAGCGATGGAGACAAGTGGTGGACACTCATGGTAGATATAAGACCGGTCAGAAGTTGTAACCAAAAAAGATAAAATTAAAATCAAAAATTTGAAAAAGTGTTGCAGGACTTTCTTTCCAACCTAATACTAATAAAAAAGTGAAGATAGATTCGTCGTGACTAGCTAACCTATAACATAATTTGCGGAAAAAATTGTGTTGTGCTATTCTCGTTCAGTGGAGCCGGTTTAGCGCCGTTTCAAAACATCCATAACCATAAAAACTTGACCATAAGGCTCATGCAGTAATGCTATTGGTAGGTAGGTTGACGGACTACTTGAACTCAGCCCTTTACCGCCTCTGCGCTCTCTAGCGGGTCCCTCTCCTCTAAGGCTTAGTCCTAGGGCATTCTCTAATCGTCTGTGCTCTAGCCATCGCGGCAGGACCACTGAGGAAAAATCAAGTAGTCCGTAAACCGGCTAGGTAAATACACGACCTGACGCCTACAGCATTACACGTAGTCCATATTTGAAGCCAGATTAGGCATGTCTACGGATTTTACCGTATACATGCCTAACCTGGCTTCAAATATGCTGCACTTGATGGAAGTTGCGCGACAAGCTGCCTCCAGCATGCTTTGCTGATATCCAGCGGAATATGTTAGAAACAGCTTATCCACACGCTTCTATCAAGTGCGGCGACGGCCACGTCAAATCCACAGACACGCCTAATCACTTCGAGATATGGACTGTATGTACTCCAGCCGGAAGGGAGGTGAGAAGGGAATAAGGGACGATTCTCCATGGTGGAGCTCGTTGCTTCCGGGATATTAGCTGGGTCTTTTTTGGCGCATTGATGCAACTCTCAACTGAAATGATGACTTAATATTTCCTGGTCAAGCTTCAACAGTAGAAAGTTGTTGAAGTAGGTGCTACCCAAAACCTTTCAGCTATAGTGCACTTCTTATTAAGTACCGCCCACTCGGATGTTCGCTTTTGACATGGTAGACGAATAAGCGAATACGAGGGGCAATTTCATTTGAATATTGATTCTTCGGAACATTTTAACGATCAAGCCAATGTTTGGCATAGAACGGCGTGTAGTTTACATACATAATTCTCACGTACATCGAAAGGCTCGTATTACTAACATCGGCTAAAAGCAACTATTGTGGAACCAAGAATGGGTAGTGGGCAATCACATACCACTTGGAGGTAGACGAGAGTGTCAGCATTGGCTTCGAGTGGCACCAACTGCGCTGTGGCTTTCTTATCGCTTTGTCCAAAATGAACCAGGAAGACTACCACCGTCAGAACCAGGAGCGCAGACATCGAAACCATTCCAATGCGACGCGCCACCACGCCAGTGCGTGGTAGAATGGCGGAAGGCCTGCAATAAAATGAAAACCAGCATAATTGTTGTCGCTAAAAACAGTTAACAAACTACGCTCAGAATAAATTGCGAGGCAGCCTACTCTCCCACCATTTTTGTTTCGAAGGATTTCGTTGTGGGAAGAGACACGCCTTGCGTCCTCATGAACCTCACATATAACGAGGAAAGGTTTTCGCGAACAACTTGAAAAGGAAACAACGATCGAATGGAAAAGAGTGTCAAAAAGACGTTCGGATCTTTTTGACGTCGGGGGTGGGCGTGTTGGTGTGCTACACAACAGACGTTGCGTTTGACGCCAAATCTGCCATCACTTGTGGACCAGGGTCAACCCTATCGTTGTTACTCTTTGGAAATTTTTTACGACCCCCCCCCCCTTCATGGGTGATTTGATACGACCCCCCTTGTATGTGACACTTGTGTAGAGACAGTGTTTACCATCAATATTTATTTCTACGTAAGTCATCAAAGATGAAACTTTAGCAAAATCCACGACAGATATTCATCGCTGCTGCTTCCAAACACGAAAAAATGAGATGCATTCAAAGATATCCGTGTACTCCAAAGGGTTACCAAACTAGGAGATGAAATAAACTGAACCAGTGACCGGAATATTGACAATATTACCTGATAAAAACTTATGAGAAGTCAGAAAAAATTATCGCTCCAATTGAAATACTGAAATCCTTCACGTTCTTCAATTGCAACAC